ACCAGATTGTATGTAAGATTTGTGTCTACCTGTGTGTGTGGTCAGCCAGCTGGATTGAAGTGGAGTCTCCCTCTAGTGGTGGCCAGAGGTAGTGCGGGCTGTGAAAATATAAGACGGCCGGTCTTATATACGTATATATATTTCAGATTAAGTCTCCCTTATTCCCTCTTACCCCAAGTCACGGCCGCACGTGCATGCCTCGGTTAGGTAGTCGCTGTGGGCGTGTGCGTGTGAGGTGGATCCGTGACAGGTACTTATATAGCGCTGTCAATTTACGCAGCTCTTTACATATAAATTGTACATTCACGTCAGTCCCTAACCCTCAAGGGGTGTACAATCTAAATATTTGTCTATTGTCCATAGCCAAAGAGAAATTGAGTGACATTTAATTATGGATGCACCTTTCAGTTCACAATAAATACAGTCTGCATTACAGGGAGGGATAAGGAAAAATTCAGCAGAGTATTGTTTGTATCTAAACTGTTCATTTAACACCATCCCAGGGCAGACAATTCTTGTGAAAAGACACCCAATGACTTTAACATTTAATAGTTACCAGCAAGTCGTGACTTCATGTCTGACAGAAACTGCTATCACCATGTGCTCCAACAGGCCCAGCCACCCACAGCCGGAACAAAAAACACATGTGCAACCACCTCCCAGCTATTAGAAAGCAAGTAATTGGAAGTACACACTCCATGACAACTGTGGGCAGCTGGAGTAAGGAGGTGGAGATTGGGTGCAGGGCAGTATGTCCATTCTACATCTTATATTAGTTCCGGGGTGGGGCGCAGTTGCACATCCTCACCCTGGGCACTGAGGTACTTTTCCTGATACTGATTAGGAGTGACTTCTCCTCTTCAGAAAGTCATTTGTGGAAGTTGGCAAAGACACATCAAGCACCTCCCAAAGTTTATTTATTTTATTTCTTTATTACAGGCACTTATATAGCACTGAAAATGTACACAGTGCTTTACATATAGTACATTTACATCAGTCCTTTCCCTCAAGCAGCTTACAATCTAAGGTCCCTAACTCACATTCATATGTACATATACTAGGACCAATTTAGACAGGAGCCAATTACCTACCAGAGTGTCTGTGGAGTGTGGGAGGAAACCGGAGTACCTGGAAGAATGCACACAAGCACAGGGACAACATGCAAACTTCATGCAAGTAGTGCCGTGGTTGGGATTCAAACCGATGACCTTAGTACTGTGTCAGGGAAACATTACACATGCAGTTAGTGGTCGTGTGCATGTGCCAGTACATAGAAGTTAGGCTAGTAACCAGCATGCACTGACAAGTTGGTGCATTCATATGCACCAGTGTGCGCATCGCTGTGCAGTGGAATGCACCTGCACATTGCTGTATGCCTACACTTGTCCAGTCCCCAGAATGGCACCAAGCTACCTATTGAAAGGAGATCCTGATATGTGCTTATTGCTGGATGTTCTTCAGCTCTCTGTGATCCTTGTTCCTATGCTTTCTGGTTACCTGGTTACCTGACTTCCTGTTACCAACTTTATCTGTTCCTTGATTTCCATCTGACTCTGTCCTGACTGTGATCCATCTTGCTGCTTGACTTCACTCCAGACTCTGCTCCTTGTACCTCTGCGCATCTGTGTATGTTCCTGGCCTGGCTCTAGACTTCTGTACATGTATGACCTTGGCTTTAGCTTCCAGACTATGTCTCTCTGCCTTCTTCTTCAGAACCTGGTTACCAGATCTGCCTCCTGGGCCCTGTCTGGCATTCCCACACAATCAGTGGACAGACTGTCTACTACTGTTGGTCATGAGGTACTGTCTTATCTGCATAAACTACCACAACCTGCAGACCATCTCTACTGATCCTCACCTGCCGTACAGGTCCCAGCACCCGTGCTAGGCCTGAGCCTCACACACCTGTTGCCACACTCAGGTATGTTTGGAGTCACAATGGAAGCCCTCTCACCACTTCGGCCGCCACCAAGGTATGTGACATGCTGCCAGCCAGAAGTGCTAATCAATGGTTCAAAAATGGCACAAATTCTTCTGGAATTTAGGTTTAGGAAGGAAATCATCACCAAATAATCCTATTAACAGCCATTCCAGCATCCAAAGCTGCAAAAAAATCAGTAGGTTATATAAAGAAAACTAAACAGTTTTGAGATTAGAAACTATAGAAAGGTTCTTGGTTAGAAGAAAATTGTATTTAGTTCTTTGATGATTTTTTTTTTTAAAGAAAATGTACAAGCCGTGCTTCTAATTATAGTGCAGCCACAAGGTAAAAATACACTTTGCTATTAAAATATTTCACGCTGCATATTTTTTATAAGTAAACAAAAATATTAATAACCTATATACACATAGATATATCTAGTGTAAAAGACAGATGGGAAATTGAAATTATACATAGTACCCGAGTGAACTGAGCAGTTTGTTCTGTATAGAAAATAAAATATATGATACAACTAAAAACCTTAAAATTCATACTGTGGGTAGCACAGCGGCTAAATGGTTAGCACCTCCACCTGGCAGCAGTAGGGTCACTGGTTCGAATCCTAGCCATGGCACTACCTGCCTGGTGTTAGCATGTTCTCTCTGTGCCTGCGTGGGTTTCCTCCGGGTACTTCAGTTTCTCCTACACTCCAAAGACATACTGGTAGGTTAACTGGCTCCTGTCTAAATTGGCCCTAGTATGTGTATGTATGAATGTAAGTTAGGGACCTTAGATTGTACACCCCTTGAGGGTTAGAGACTGATGTGAATGTACAATATATATGTAAAGTGCTGCGTAAATTGATGGCGCTATATAAGTACCTGAAATAAATAAATTCATAAGTACATACAACCTTATTCAATGAAATGTTCTTTAGAAATCATCATATATATGTAGCGCTCAACTAAGTCCCTCTGTCCTCATCATTTGTCCCTTGTTTTGGTCTGATCTATATAGTTGTATATAAAATGCCTAATTTATATATCAAAAAGTGTTTTACAGTGCTAAGGTATGCAAAGATTAAAAAGCCTGCAATTAACTATATGTACAGTGGGGCAAAAAAGTATTTAGTCAGCCACCAATTGTGCAAGTTCTCCCACTTAAAAAGATGAGAGAGGCCTGTAATTGGCATCATAGGTAAACCTCAACTATGAGAGACAAAATGAGAAAAAAAATTCAGACAATCACATTGGCTGATTTGGCTGATTTGGAAATAATTTATTTGCAAATTATGGTGGAAAATAAGTATTCGGTCAAGATTTCTGGCTCTCACAGACCTGTACCTTCTTCTTTAAGAGGCTCCTCTGTCCTGCACTCATTACCTGTATCAATGGCACCTGTTTGAACTTGTTATCAGTATAAAAGACACCTGTCCACAACCTCAAACAGTCACACTCCAAACTCCACTATGGTGAAGACCAAAGAGCTGTCGAAGGACACCAGAAACAAAATTGTAGACCTGCACCAGGCTGGGAAGACTGAATCTGCAATAGGCAAGCAGCTTGGTGTGAACAAATCAACTGTGGGAGCAATAATTAGAAAATGGAAGACATACATGACCACTGATAATCTCCCTCGATCTGGGGCTCCACGCAAGGTCTCACCCCGTGAAGTCAAAATGATCACAAGAACGGTGAGCAAAAAACCCAGGACCACACAGGGGGACCTAGTGAATGACCTGCAGAGAGCTGGGACCAACATAACAAAGGCTACCATCAGTAACACACTACGCCGCCAGGGACTCAGATCCTGCAGTGCCAGATGTGTCCCCCTGCTTAAGCCAGTACATGTCCGGGCCCGTCTGAAGTTTGCTAGAGAGCATTTGGATGATCCAGAAGAGGATTGGGAGAATGTCATATGGTCAGATGAAACCACAATAGAACTGTTTGGTAGAAACACAACTCGTCGTGTTTGGAGGAGAGAGAATGCTGAGTTGCATCCAAAGAACACCATACCTACTGTGAAGCATGGGGGTGGCAACATCATGCTTTGGGGCTGTTTCTCCGCAAAGGGACCAGGACGACTGATCCATGTACAGGACAGAATGAATGGGACCATGTATTGTGAGATTTTGAGTGCAAACCTCCTTCCATCAGCAAGGGCATTGAAGATGAAACGTGTCTGGGTCTTCCAACGTGACCATGATCCCAAGCATACTGCCCGGGCAACGAAGGAGTGGCTTCGTAAGAAGCATTTCAAGGTCTTGGAGTGGCCTAGCCAGTCTGCAGATCTCAACCCCATAGAAAACCTTTGGAGGGAGTTGAAAGTCCGTGTTGCCCAGCGACAGCCCCAAAACATCACTGCTCTAGAGGAGATCTGCATGGAGGAATGGGCCAACATACCAGCAACAGTGTGTGCCAACCTTGTGAAGACTTACAGGAAACGTTTGACCTCTGTCATTGCCAACAAAGGATATATAACAAAGTATTGAGATGAACTTTTCATATTGACCAAATACTTATTTTCCACCATAATTTGCAAATAAATTCTTTCCAAATCAGCCAATGTGATTGTCTGGATTTTTTTTCTCATTTTGTCTCTCATAGTTGAGGTCTACCTATGATGCCAATTACCGCCTCTCTCATCTTTTTAAGTGGGAGAACTTGCACAATTGGTGGCTGACTAAATACGTTTTTGCCCTACTGTATGCCATTACTAAATATTTCTAGCTGTGTCTTTGTTGTAATTGTTAAGGTAAAGCAGGTCATAGATGATTTTCTTTCCTGCAACTACAGCTCTATTCCCTCATCAACACAGTCAGTGTTGATGGGGGAATGCCTAGTACTGAGCTACTGTGTTCTGCTGGTGGAGAGCCTTTCTGACTGGCAGAACACAATGATTACTGCTAGGGGCTATAGCCACTGGCATTAATCAACAGTTGTACTGGCTGGTTATACCCAAGTAGATTGATTTACTGTATGGGTACAACCAGCCTTCCTGTAGATGGATCAAATCTCGGCCAGTCCATGCTGAACTGGCCAAGATCAATCTATGGCCATCTTAAGGGTAAAGTTCTTCTGTAGCCTCCCTGGAGGTATTCACGAGTGTAGCTCGGGGTAAAGTTTCAGTACCAAAAGCGGTAACCCCGAGCTACACTTGGGCTTACCATGTGGCGCTGCTCCGGGATCCCTCAATCACTTACCTTGTCCTGCACTCCCGCAATGTCCTCCCTGCAGTGTCCCCTGTAATGTCCTCCGGCGGATGCCGGCATCTGTCTTCTGGGTTCCGTCCCCTGCGACGTCGGGACGTACGGGGACGGAACTGGCGGGAAATTTGAAAATGACAAAAAGTGACATTCACTAAAATCACTAAAATCACATAGTGAAACATTACTGTATCAAACCATTTCACATACATTTTGTCCCTAGTGCTTTGTCCTGTGCCCTGTCTGCATTTTTACTGTTCTTTCTGCCTGGAAACTGAGAAACGTCCATGGTGTCCAAAAAGCGTCCCTTTTGGTCAAAAGCAGTTTTAGACCGGCTAGAGAACAGCGATAGTAAATTAGAACCACTTGCAGAATTGAGTGATAATGATTCGTGTGGAAATTCGTCATCAGACACTGAAAACGATTTTGCGACTTTGCTCAGTGATGTGCGAACTTCGCTCTATATTTCAAATTTCAGTGTTTTTGGTTTGATTATATTATTGAATTAAATTTATTATTATAATATTATTATTTTTTATGATTATTTATTAAATTATAATTTATGATTTCGTGTTTCAAATTTTATCATACCCGGGATGTTTACTAGACTCTTGTTTGGGACAGATTTCAGTGAGTTATTCCTAAAAATTACAGGCCTACAATAAAAAAAATACATATTTCCATGCAAAAAAATGTACCGCTTTGTGCACAGAAATATGGACATAATCAGACCGCTAGGGAGGTTAAGGCTCTATTCGCACTTGTGTGACTCCAAAGTTACATGATTTCCAGTGTAACTTTGGAGTGCAACTTTTAATGCTGCTTTGTATTTCAATGGTTTTTTATTAATTTATAACAACACAGGGGCAACAAACCACCCCCCACGCAAGGGCTATCAATTGCACATAGAGGAACTAGAAATTAGAGGAATCAGTGCTCTAACACCAACAGTGAAAAAGATATGCCCACGCATGGGCCATCAATGGCACTTAAATAACAAAACATAAATATAACACTGACAATAACTCAGACTAAAGGCAGTTAATGCTGCTTTAATGCAACTTTACTCTCTGGTACTCAAGTCTCATCAAAGTAGTGCAAGAACCCTAACAAAGTCGCTGCAACTTTAAGTTGCATAGATCCGAATGGATGCCATTGAAAACAATGGGCTGCGACTTGTCATGTGACTTTATAGGGTTTATTTACTAAAGCTGGAGAGTACAAAGTCAGGCTCACTTCTGCATAGAAATCAATCAGCTTCTAACCTCAATTAAGCTTTGGCAATAAAACCTGGAAGCTGATTGGTTTCTATGAAGAAGTGAGCCTTCTTCCATTGTTTGCTGTATATCAGTGCTGTGGATTACCTGCAGCTTGCAGCCTCCAATCTGCATACATGTGTTCTCCATTAATGGCTGCATGGCATTTCACAAGGTGGGTTTCATGATGGTGCCAACAGTGGATCTCTATCTGTATGATGTGTGTTGAAAAAGCCACTTATAGACTCTGTCGTACACCCATTGATATGGTTGAAAGACTCGGAGAGAATGTTGTCACTATAACACAAAGTTTCTCAATAAGGACCTTCATGGCACAATCACCAGATAATATTTAAATGAAACATGCTGATTTTTTTTTAATTACTTCTTAATTGCACTTGCATGTTAAAGTTTAATGAAATTAAGATTGGTTTTATGTATACTTCGGTCTATATAAGCAGAAATTGCATTTGGCAAATATTTAACTCAAATAAATGTAAATGCAGTTCAGGAGCCTGCATCACGTTTTCTTGACATAAAAACGATTTGTGTTCAACATGGTTTTCATCTTTTCATATCACATAATCCAAACGCAACTTCGGAGAAAAACGATAATCTAGTCTATGAAACAATACACAATTACAGGAGTTTCCATGCCACTATCAGTAGTATTCGCATGAAAGACTCACATGAAAGTCAGAACTGGCATCGGATGTCTCTATTAGGTTCTGTCTGGCTAAGTAGATGGTTAAAGTTCGTGATTTGTATATTTCCCTCTTTTACACTAATGGCATCAGTGTGAACCAGGATAACCAGCAAAAGCAAAATCAGTTAATGTAGGTCAAGAGTCGATTTTGAATTAGCAGTGAGCTTAGAAGATCTGCCCCCATGTAGATAATTACAAACTACACATTCCCAACCATGCTTGTTCAAGAACAGGCGAGGCTGGGGATTTTACAAACCATGCTAAGGAAGTGTTTTATATACAGAAGTGTCATTTAGGAGCAGAACAATGTGTCCAATTTTATAGTGTAAGCCTGGGTACGGTTTGCAGTCTGGTGAGGTTTTGTTCAGTGGTACAGTTGAGATTCCAATGTGAATTGTTAAAGTGTATGACATTGGAAATCGCACCTGAACAGGACTGAAAATGGCACATGACTCTTTTACAAGTCGCACTGCTGCTGGCTCGCACATATATGAACATATGCTCCATAGAAAAGGCTTTTGCTTCACATGTCATGTAAATCGGACGCGGTTCAAAACGCTTCCAATTCGCATATATGTGAACTGGGCCTAAGAGAAAATTAGGGCCAGGGAAAGTGACATCAGAAACCAGAATTGATGTTTTACACATCATTTCCGGTAATTCTAGCTAGGGGAGATCAGCAAACAGAACTCTCTCCCCTACACCCAGCAACACCCACCATATGGGTCCTGGGCCCGTAGGTGGATGTATGGTGTGGGGAGTCATGGAAAGTAAACCAGAACACTTTCATTAGAAAGCTAAAAGTCAGCTTGTGAAGTGTGTGTGAAACCCCAAGTGGCCACTGCCGCAAAGTATATGGGGGGAGCAGTAAAAGGATTAAAGAGACCCTGTCACCATCGTAACAAAATTTGAAGGTAAAAGCACAGAGAAATCAAGTATTCTAAATGCCTACTTGTGGTGTTTCCTTTTCTAAAAAATAGTTTTTGTTCACTTGCAATGTGCTTTTAAACTTTATGGAAAATTTGACAACTTCAGGTGTCAATTCCGTAGCACAGCCCCTCCTTCCTTGCATGTCATAGCCCTCTCTTTTTCTGGGAGTGTCTAACCACTGTCTGTGCTGGTCCAGCATCTTCCTTCATCTCCCAGTGTAACCTTTTTTGTAGCTGCCAGGGAGAGGAGTGAAGGGGAATATTATAGGGTGTCAGTGGTTTGACAGCTCTGAGTCTACTGGGTCTGTTGATAGCACGTCAAAGATGGCAGCGCTCTACTGCAATCTCAGGGCTTTTGGATGTCTACACAAGGGAGGCTTTTACACATAAATACCTTAGATTGTACGCTTCTTGAGGGTTAGGGACTGATGTGAATGTACAATATATATGAAAAGCACTGTGTAAATTGATAGTGCTATATAAGTACCTGTAATCAATAAATAAATAAATAAAATAACATGCATAAAATATATTGTATGTACATATAATCTTTTGAGAAGATTTCTGTTAAAATGAATGGTCTGGTGAGAGGGTCTTTTAGTCTTGTTCATTATGTACTCTCCTCAGGTCACTACATCAGCCTTGCGGATAGTTGTCGTACAGGGATTACTATTTGACACAAAGGACTGTGAAGGACTCACGGGCAGCACAAAATGTTCCTTGAATTGCGTTTCTTAAGGCTTTATAGCTAATCATTGGATTAATAAGGACAACTGGTATCCTGTTTCTGGCAGGGAATTGTGGGACTTGACATTTAATATTTGAAGAAGCATTGGAACATCTTCTAACAGTCCCAGTTTTTCACAGACAAGGCAAAGGGCAATAAAGCAAATAAAGTAGCAGTAGGCTTTTTTTATATCTATTAAACTTGTATCTTATCTCAGTTCTGGACAAAAGTCTGGTTATTAAGACACCATGGTGACTAGAAAAGTCCCTTATCTAAAAGCATTACTAAACCCAGGCTCCAGGACCCAGACAAACATCATTGCCAATGTTGATGGAGTAAGGCTGTCCATAGATGAGTTGTTTTTCCTTTACATCAGCAGACTGAATGCAAAAAAATAATGACTTGATTCCCCCATCCGCACACTTGTGGATGGGGGAATCCTCCCCACCTTGCAATTGTATTCTGACAGCAGGGAGACTTCCCCGTCGCCAGAATACACAGTTCAGAGCTGCCAGCTATTTCTGGCGGCACTGATCGAGTGGCAAAAATCCGAAAGGGTTGTGTAGATCAACTTCTGTACAACCACCCTCCCCGTACATGGTTCAAAATTGGGCAGGTCCCTGCTGAACCAGTCAAATTTTGATCAACATATGGCAGGCTTATTGTGTATAAATGCTAGGTCTTACAGCAGCTTACAGTTTCAGTAATAGTCATTAATTACAAATCCCCCTACTATGCAGATTGTCTACTGCTGTGCACTGCTAGGATATGGGAGCCGGCTTCCCCTGTGCTTTACTGCATGTAATTTATGGTCACATAGAAATCTTCTATTGCATAAAACAGAGTGTAGAGGAAGCTGGGTCCTGTTCCTCTGTGCCTCCAGTGGTTAATCTACAAATTTCTCATTTTATTACAAAATCAAGGAAGACCAAGCTTTAAAAAAAAAAAGGCCACTTTACCATAACAATTAAAAATGTGTTCACTGTAATAAAGTATTATTTCCCTTTAAAACACATATTAGAAGAATAGGCTTTATATTAAATATAATTGAAGAGACATATCCTACCTGCTGACATGCTCTAATTCTCATTCTTGGACTCATGGGCTCCTTCATCTCTGCTTAAATATTCGCTAAGTCTACATGGAAATATCAAGGAGGAATTGTACAGAATAGAATGTGCTAAAAGCTAAACAGTTTAAATATATACCATCTGAACCATGAATAGACTTCTGTGTGCCCGCTAATAAAGGAGTATAAACTAAATGAGATCTGGTAACAAAGTATGTTAACTAAAATATCACTTTTATTGAATCACCTTAAAAACAGGCAATTAAGCATAAAACTATGTGAAAACACTGAGATTTTAGCAAACTGAAAAAAATAATAGCAACCAAAGTACATGCAATCATGTATTAGGGCTTGTGGTGTCCATACCTTTACAGCCATTTCTGCAGTACTCATCTGGAGATCATTAGCCATCAGAAGGTCTTACGACGGGCCATTAATACAACCACTGGGTTAGCTCCATCCACTAGTACTGCATCTTTTGAGTAAGTTCATATTTTTTTCAAGACACAGACAGACCTGGTGTGC